AATATTAGATTTTTAGACATTATTATGTTTAGATGTAATTAACAAAACCTGCGGACATCTAAATATTAGTCTGAATTTTTCGTTTGATACATACTTTCTTAACTTATAATTTACATATTTTCATTTATCTGATTTTATCTCACTGTACTTTTAATTTTAATTTCTTTCCCTCTTAAATACTAAAAGTAAAAGTATGTAAAAAATAATGTAAATAAATATAATGAGTATTTTGTAAATTTAAAATGAATAGTTAATTTAGAAATATCCGATTAATTTAATTCATTGCTGATTTTTAATTTATATTATAAATCATGGAGGTGACTTATTTTTGTTTTAACCAACGCTTGAATTGTTGGACGTCTTAGATGATAATCAACATACCTATTGAAACAAAAATTAATAGTTGTATTTAGGATAATTTTCAGAAAAGATTTATTGATGGCAGCTTGGGTTTAGGTGTGATATATTTTAATATTAGAAGTACCAGAAAACATTTTGATGAATTGAAGATTTTTGTTTAAATGGCAAGTGAGTATTTAGATATAATTATGCTATCAGAAACATGAGTAAATGATTATATAAGTTATTTCTCAATCCCAAATTACACTCAATAGATACTATAATGAATCAACAATAAATAAATGCGATGGGATAGTCGTTTACATAAAAAACAACATCTCAGCTGAGGTTGTGGTTTTTACGAATAACTTTCATAAACTATTTAAAAAATAATATTAAAGTGGAACTGACGGCCTAATATAAATCCCTCTCAACTAAAATATCCCCTTTTTAAAATGATTTAGAAATTTATCTAACTCAATTGAAGAAATATAATTTAGAAATATATCTGGGTGACAATTATTAATTTGTTTAATAGCGATAATGATATAAATAATTACTTAAACATATTAGAATATAATGGATTTATGTATATCATATATAAACAAACCCACCAGAGTTACAAACGACTCAAAATCAGCTATACAGTATGTCCCCCTAAGTTGGAATCATATCGAAAACTTTTTTATTATTAATTTTAGAAAAAAGTTATTCTTCATAAAAAGTTCTGTATTATCTAAAACCTAGAATACAGTCATCAGATATCCATTTTTTTTTCAGTGGTATACGAGGTTTGTCAAAAAATATGAGTTTTACTCAAGAGTAAAGTACCTCTATTTTTTATACGACTGATAAAATTTGATATCTGATGGTTGTATTTTAGGTTTTAGACCATGCTCAACTTTTTATAAAGAATAACTTTTTTCCCAATATTAATAATAAAAAATTGCCAATTTATGTAGACAGTTGGTGGCATAGGAAAGCTTTTTTATTAATTGAGAGGTCTGGAATTAAAGAGGTCTAAGTACAGTTTTTTAATTATTGAGATATTGAAGTCTAAAGTTAAGTGATATTTTAAAATACCCGAAAATCAATTACACGACTTCTGGTCGTTAGAATGAAAGATAAAGACGTTAAAAATATATGTGTAAATATTTGAAATCTGTCAAATATGTGTCAAAAATGCAAAAATATTAGTCAAAATGTACTTATACCCTTTTAATTTTATTTTCATTTATTCATCTGTGCGAATGCAAAATAGAACTATTTAGGAAGGTAAGTTATTTTTATTAAAAATAAAAAAAAATAGTTTTATTAATTATTATCTAGCTCTTTTTCTTCGAATGAAGTTAAGTCATCATTTGGCTCTTGTTTTTCAACTGGAGTTGATGATCTAGGATGCGCTGAAGTAAACTCGTTTAAAAGATTTTCTGAGCTTTTATTTTTAGTCCAGTTTTTGTGAAATTTTCAAGAAATACCAATAATAACAAAACTTAGGGTGGATAAACCTTGATTTTTTATAAACCATCCAAAATTATTTATTAAAAAAAAAAAAATTAAAAGGAATTTAAAAAAAATATGCTTCATTCTGTAATAAATCTATAATTTGCTGCTTTTTGTTTTAATAAATATCTAGTAGTTTTTAAATGGGAAGATTTCCCACTTTTTTATAATTATTGTACATAATGTAAATAAAGAGTTTGAAAGTAAAGTAAGATTTTCTAGTATAAAATTGTATTCATATGCGCGCCACTGAGAATACTTCACGATATTATGTGTTTCGAAAATAGTGAGAGCTTTAAATTTGTGAAACGATACGATAAGGCAGTACTCTACAGAGTCTTTTAAGAAAAAAGGTGGGAAATCCTCCCATTTAAAAACTACTAGATATTTATTAAAACAAAAAGCAGCAAATTATAGATTTATTACAGAATGAAGCATATTTTTTTTAAATTCCTTTTAATTTTTTTTTTTAAATAAATAATTTTGGACGGTTTATAAAAAATCAAGGTTTATCCACCCTAAGTTTTGTTATTATTGGTATTTTTTGAAAATTTCACAAAAACTGGACTAAAAATAAAAGCTCAGATGGAAAATTGACATAAACATGTTAGAATTAAAGAGGTATACTTAAGAGTACTTGTACTGGTACTTATTCAAAATAAAAATTACTGTAGCTTATTTTAACACCCTTTTTAACATGACGATAAATGGCTTTATTTGTCATAAATTCACTTGAACCTATTATTTACCTAATAAAAGAATACAAGTTTACTTAACTCAAAAAATGAAAAAGTGCACTTACACCTCTTCTATTCCAAACCCCTCAATTATAGAAATAAACTTAACTCATTAATAAAAATACTAAAACTGATTATTACAAAGCTAAAATAAATGAATTTGTAAACCAATTAAAAAAAAAGGAATGTAATTAATAATATCCCGGGTGGAGGAGCTAAAACTAGAAATAAAATTGAAAATTATAGTCCCAATAAGTTTTTAGAGGTGTGAAATTTAGAAAGGGCAAAGGTGTTACTTACCCATGCAACACGCCACTGGCAAATTTTATTTAATA